CCAGTGTGATATGCTGATTCATGTATTTTATTGATGATACCTTTGTTAATTACTCAAGTGAGTGTCGTAAAAATAGCACATAATAATACTAATCATGAGTGGATTTAACTATAGATTCGGCCAAATTCACGTTAATCATTTGGTTACCATAAAAAGTGGTTAGGGTTAGTAGTAGTAGTAGTAGTAATAAGTAGTAGTAGTAGTAGTAGTAGTAGTAGTAGTAGTAGTAGTAGTGGTAGTAATAGTGGTAGTAGTAGTAGTAGTAATAGTAGTAGTAGTAGTAGTAGTGATAGTGGTAGTAATAGTAGTAGTAGTAGTAGTAGTAGTAGTAGTAGTAGTAGTACTAGTAGTAGTAGTAGTAGTACTAGTAGTAGTAGTAGTAGTAGTAGTAGTAGTAAAAGCAGTTATAGTAATAGTAGTAGTAGTAGTAGTAGTAGTAGTAGTAGTAGTAGTAGTAGTGGTAGTAATAGTAGTAGTAGTAGTGTGGTAAAAGTTTTGAGTGGTAGCAGCAGCATTAGTAGATGTAGCAGAAGCAGTAAACAACGGTAGTGTGTTAACAGGTAGTTGTTATCATAGATAGCTAGTAATAACACTGGTTACTTCAATAAAAATAAAGTAATTTTTACATATAAATCCTTTCTTTCCTTTTCTATGGCTGCTTTCGCTTCTTCTCCAGTCTAATATATTTTACAGGGAAAAATAATTTATTTAAAATGAACAAACAATAAAAAAATGTTATATTTAAATTTAAAATATTTAAAACATCCTTAATCCAATTAAACTCATTAATATAAGCTTGCGATAATTAATAAAAGAACTTTATGGTTTTAATATTCATTTTATTTTTCTCTACCTTTCCAACTAATTCTGGCCATTTACTTTTAACAGCCAGTGAAAATCTGAAATAATTGAATAATAATATTAATTAATTTGGAATATTGTAAAAAAAAATTTGAATAATTAGAACAAGTCAACCAGTTCATGTACTTGGGTAACTCAACTGATAAAAAGGAATTGACAAAAGAATATTAATTATATGAACATTTGAAAGAAATTAGGAAAAGTAGTCCTATGTATCAAAAAAAATTGAAGAGTAATGGAAACCTGAGTGTTTTTATACATTGCAGCTTGCATGCGAAAGTTGGACAAAAAAAGAAGCGATAAGCGATTGGAAATGTTACAGAAAGTGGTTGGAAAGTCATAATAAACCATTATAAAAAGCAAGCAATTAATGAATAACATCACGGTACAATGAAATGATGCAGTGACGGATCTAGACAACTTTTACGAGGAGCCAAAATTTTCAAAATGAAGCGTTGACCGGCCGAGAAGATATAAAAAAAGTTTAAACTTTTACCGGTGACCGAAGGGGGTCAAAGTTCACATTTTGACGAGAGACCAACATTTGTACAAAAGTACATTTTTCGTCAAAACCAGAACTTTTTCCGTTAAAACAATGAGTTCTCCTCACTTATAAAACAAATACAGATCACAACTGGGTACCCCTCTTCCCCAGATCCGCCACTGAACTGCAGTAGGGATATTGATTGATTTGAATTGGCCAGTGATAGAAAAAAATTATGAAAGTTGATAGAAAAGGTGGGCATCATTGTGTTAATTATAATTGTCGTATTAAAATAACTAATTTGATGATTTAATAAATAAATAAACATATGAATAAATTTTTTAATTAGTTAGTTATTTAACTAATAATTATCTAATTAATTAATCGATTTTGTTTGGCATTATTTTATTAGAGTACTCTGAACCCATATAAACTATTATATCATATATGATAAGAAAAATTGTTTGCATGTGTGTATGATTTCCTTTAGGAATTAATGAGCTTCAACTCAAATAGTAATTAATCAACAGGGTTAGTAAGATCAAGAGTTTGTACCACGTTAATATTCGTGAATCAGGTGATGTGATTGTATGTACGGAAGCGCTTAATAACCGGCAACTTTACTGTTTGGAAAACGATTTAAACATTCTATCATAAAACAAAACTCTAAAAATGACAAGGCCTATGTAAGGATTTATGTAAGGTTTCTGAACGTTAAATTCACTTTAAATATATTACGGCCGGTAATTGAAAACTATTTATATTGATTGCAATATTATACACCTTTTTTAATATGCTTACATCGTTTCAATTTTTTTGTGATAGCTTCGTATATTTCCATTCGTGACAAAGTTTTTTAAAAAAATTACGTGACTCTTATACTAATGCGGTAGGCTCGCGTAGGGAAGCAATACCCAAGGACCGGCCATTCATATATTCATAGATTAAAACATAAAAGTGAATTCAATGCTTTAAAACCAAGACCATGAAAAAATAAATAAATATTATTAACAACATTATAAATGATAAAATAAAATATAATATAGACCTGGCCACCAGCACAAGTAACCCGAGCACGATGCACGAGGTGATCTTCAACATGATAATATCGACCGCACTTCAAATTATTATTCCTTATTTCTAATGTTAAGTTGTCGGATTTTTCAGTGAATGCTTGTTTTTATAGTAAAACTCTACTATATATATATATATATATATATATATATATACATAAATATATTTTTAAATCATATTTATATTATATTATATAATATAATATTATATTATATTATATTATGTTATGTTATATTATATTATATTATATTATATTATTTTATATTTTGTTATATTATATTATATTATGTTATGTTATTTTATGTTATGTTATATTATATTATGTTATATTATATTATATTATATTAAGTTATGTTATGTTATGTTATATTATATTATATTATATTATGTTATGTTATGTTATGTTATGTTATGTTATGTTATATTATATTATATTATATTATATTATATTATATTATATTATATTATATTATATTATATTATATTATATTATATTATATTATATTATATTATATTA